CGCTTGGAAGCATGGAGGAAATGTTTCCTCTGTACTGACCCTCCTCTTTGCCGACTGGACACTGATTTGAGTCCCTTTGGTGGGGTCTCCATGACCTCCATGAACAAGAGGACAGGTGACTCATCACAGTTACAGGACATATCAAGAGATTCCCATAGTCCCCTGGGACTGTTGACCTTCCAGGGCAAGGAACAAAAGTGTCCCTTAAGTCCCTTTGTCCAGACTAGAATGGGCCTTTAAGTATGGTAATTAACCATCCAAGAAGGTCAGTTGCACCAGCCTGGTACTTTTAATTACTGTGTAATCTATAGATAAAGTTTGAACAAAACCCAAACTTTCTCAATAAACATTGACTAGAAGAGATTTACCATCACAGGTTAACTAGGCACAACCCAGGAAAGGGACCTTAAAACAAGAATTTCTTAAGTCTGTCTCAAATGAAGGCTGTTCTATTATAAACAGAAGCAGTCTCCTTTTAGTTTTCTATATCCTGATTTACAGTTTTTGGAAGGAAGGGAGGCATTATATCACATACCCATCGTCGGGAAATAAACATAAGAATTCAGACCAAGCTTCACAGAAATTATTTTCTTCTAGATTGCATACATCTGGTTCAAGGAGGTAGACCTAGTTTTTCTTGAGTCAAATCATTCTTGTTACGGGTAAAAGAAAGTGCCAAAAGTAACATTTGCATAATAGAGAGAAACATAAAAGACATATTTCAGTAGTCATTGTTATGCAGATAAAGCTTGGGCAATATTCTTAAATAAACCTTTACTAGACATCCTTAAACTAATTGACTGACTTATGCCCTCAAGAATGTCTGTATATTATCCCTGTTTCATCATTGATAAATCATAATAAACCTACACAGACCTTTATTACTTGCTTAGGCTTTCTCATTTTTTTTTGTTAATTCTGGAAATATCTAGCCATCATAATCTTTATTCATAAATTCTTCTTAGTAAAATATCTCTATTTCTATATCTTTTTAATATCTTTTAACTTTGTATTTTTTAATAACCATGAGACACAATATCATCAACAAATAAACATTC